TTCTCTCAAAGAATCCTACAGTAAATCAATTGGAAAATTCAAGGTTAAAAAAAAATCCCTAATTTAACCTTCTGAATAAATCCAAGGTTTGCTGATTGGATTTACTTCAAGACAGATACATCTGTAGTAATATAAAGGCAGCAGTCCAAGATTCCTATTGCTAAGGCTGTAGAGACATGATCAAAAAGTGGACGGCAGGAGGCACATGAGCAAGACAATCCCAACTGGCTTGACATCATCACAGGCTGGGGGTGGAGCTGCAGAATAGAGTCTGCAGAATTAGGGCCAGGGCATCTGCAACTTTTATATGGTCAGTACTTTGCCTCCGGATGCTTCCGTGTGCCCAAAACCTAACAATCCATTCTCCACTAGAAAAAAACTAGGTGATTCCCAGTTCCAGGATACTTCAAGTGATGCCACACACACACACACACACACACACACACACACACACACACACACACACACACACACACACACACACACACACACACACACACACACACACACACACACACACACACACACACACACACACACACACACACACACACACACACACACACACACACACACACACACACACACACACACACACACACACACACACACACACACACACACACACACACACACACACACACACAAGTTCAAGAACCCCCACCCCCAAATTGTTCCCCTACATAAAGTCCTGGGACACCCCTCTCCTTGCAATCTGTCCCTTCCCCATTGCTCCAGGAAACCTACCAATTTGTCACCCTATATATCCTGAGACGTGTCAATAAAGTATCTCTGTCCCCCATCCTGAGACCCCCCTCTACAGCCTGTGCCTTCATGAACAACCCAGGGCAAACCTCTCCCCAACCTGTTCCCTCCCACAGAACCCCAGGACACCTCCCCCCAACTTATTCCCTGTACATACTACTGGAACATCCCCCTCAATCTGTCCCCAACATAATTCTCTCTGAAATTGTTCCCCCTCACTCTGACTGCAGACCCTCCTCCAGCCTGTCTCCTCCCACTCTGTGGGTGATCTCTGAAATGGCCAAGGCCTGTTTCCTTACTTGAATCTGGAGGCACCCCCACCACTGTTCTTGTCCCTGACACTCCTAGAACATTTTCATAGGCTGTTTCTTCCCCTACAGACCCTGGACAGCTCCACTGTCTGGCTGCACGCCCACAGGTATAAGACACTCCCTCAGCCTGGCTCCTCCCTGCCAGTCCCAGGTCACTTCTACCTCCTGTCTCCTCCCATGAAGCCCCCGCTCCCTCAGTGGACTGTCTCCTTACCACTGTCAGACCTGAGACACCCACATCTGCTGCTTCTCCTGTGGACCCAGTCACCCACACTGTGGCAGGCAGGCGTCCCACCACAGGAACTCCTACAGCTGCAAGCACCCCCAGAGGCAGAGGCACCCTCACAGCCTCAGGGGCTGCTCCACTGTGTATCCTCCCCAGGCCTGAGATACCTTCAGAGCCCGTCTCCCCCTCCACAGGTTCAGAAGATGCAGTGGGCAGCTCTGTAGTCTGTCTCCTTCCCCATATGCCTGAGCCGTCCACAGAGCTAGAATCCCCCAGCATAAGCCCAGGGACCCCAGAAGCTGTGGGCACTCCCACAGCCATGGAAATTCTAGCAGCCTCACACATCCCAGCATTCTGTCTTCTTCGCGACAAGCCCAAGAGACCCCCAGAGAGTGTCTCTTCCCCTACAGGCCCAGGCAGCCCCACAGCCATGGATACCCCTGCAGTCTGTCTGCCTCCCAACAAGTCTGAGATGCCTCCAGAGCCCATCTTTTCCTCCATTGGCCCAGGCATCCTGACAGAGGTGGGAAACCCCACTCCTGTGAGACCCTTGGCATCTGCAGGTCCCCCCGCTGTCTCTCTCTCTCCCAACAAGCCTGAAAACCTTCCAGAGACAGTTTCCTCCCACACAAGCCTAGGCACCCTGGGAGCCATGGGCATCCCACCAGCTGTGGATACCCCTGCAGTCACAGGTACTCCTGCAGTTTTTCTCCTTCCTGACAAGGCTGAGAAACCCCCAGAGCCAATCTCTACCCCAGGGACCCTAGGAGCTGTGGGAACCTCAGTGGTCCCAGAAACCCTGGCCCTCTGTCTCCTTCCCCAAGATCTCGGAACATGCCCAGAGCCAGTCTCCCCCATAAGCCCAGGTACTTCAGGAGCCATGGAAGCTCCAACAGCCTGTCTCCTTCCCCATGATCCTGGGAAAGCCTCAGAACCACTATCCTCTCCCACAGACCACAGCTCCTCCTGAGCCTGAGCCTGTTCCCATGGGTTCAAGACATCTCTAGAACTGCTTTCCTGACACACTGGGCTAGATATCGACACAGCAGCAGGCACCCTTCCAACCCTGGGCACACCTGCAGCTACAGGTACCCCTGCTGGGGCACACCTGTGCTTGGGCACACCTGCTGCCTTGGGTATCCCCACTGTCTCAGATATCCCCACAGCCTGCCTCCTCCCACACAGACATGAAGCATCCCCATAACCAGCCTCTTGGTCCACAGGCCCAGCTACCCCTAAAGCTGTAGGCACCAGAGCCTCTTGCTCCTCCATGGCCTGCCTCCTTTCCCACAGGCTCAGGGCATTCCCACTGCGTGTCTCCTCCCCAAGGAGCCCTGGCACTGCCTCAGCCAGAGGCACACCCAGAGCCTGCCGCCTTTCCCACCAGCCCGGAACACGACCACAGCCTCTCTCCCCTTCCATGGCTCCCGGTACCACCACAGCCTGGGACACCCCCATGGACTGCCCTGTTCCCCACAGCCCCGTGACACAAGCACAGGCTGTCTCCTTCTCCAAAGCTCTATGTACATCCACAGCCTGTTCTGTACCCCACAGGCCTGGAGCACCCCCAGAACCTGCCTCCTGCTCACTAGGACCACACAGCTCTGCAGTGTGTGTGGCTCTCCATGATGACGGGTCACCTCCAGAGCTTGTCTCAACCCACACAGCCTGTCCCCTTTCCCTGAATCCTGTATCACCCCTACGTCTAGCTTCCTCTTCAGTAGCACAAGGCACCTCTACAGGCTGCTCCGAGCCCCACAAGCCCAAGGAGCCTATCTCTTCTGCGGCCTGTCTTCTCAGCCACATACCTGGGGCACCCACAGAGGCAGTTTCCTCCTCCGCTGCTCTAGGTACCACCACAGCATCACGCATCCCTGCAGCCTGTCCCCTTCCCCATAAGCCAGGGGTATCCCCACAAACGGCCTCTTGTGCCAGAGCTCCAGGAACCTGTACTGACTGCCCTCTCCCCCACAGACCTGGAGTACCCCCGCAGCCCCTCTCTCCGTCCACAGCTCTGGGCACTCCCATAGCCTCGGGCCACCCAAGGGCCCCAGACACCCTCATGGGCTCTCCTTTTCCCCAAGAGCCTGGGGCAACCCCATAACCTATCTCCTCCACAACCCCAGGAACCCCCACAGCTTGTCCCCTCCCCAACAGGTGTGTCTCCACAGCCCTAGGCACACCTACATGAGGAGGCATCCGCCTAGCCTGTCCCTGCCCACAGAAACTTGAGACTCTCTCATAAGCTGCCCCTAATGCCATAGCTGTAGATATTCCTGAGTTCAGGGGAAATGCCTGTCCTTTCACCCAGGGTCCTGTAAGACCACCACGGCTGGTCTCTACCCAGGAAGCACAGCCAGGGAGGCCCCTTTCGACTGGCCACTCTCCTGCCAGCACAGGATGCAGCTCCACCCTGCTTCCTTCCCCACATCCTGAAGCTGCCCTCATAGCCTGCACCTTCAACCACAGTTCCAGAATGCTCTCATGTCCCAGAGATCCCGGACGACCTTTTCTCTCGCAGCCCCGGGGACTCCCATGGTCTGTTTCCTCCTCTCCAGTCCCAGTCACCCACACAGCCCCAGCAGGCCCCACCACCTCGGGCTCCCCTACAACCCCGTTCACCCACACAGCCCCAGGGTCCCCTACAGCCTCAATCGAGACTGCAACTCCAGATGTCCCCGAAGCCTCGTCTGTCCCAGCGGCTTCGGCTGTCTCCGCAGCTCGTCTCCTCCCCCGTGGCTGCCGACTGTCCTGCATCCTTTCTGCAATCACACAACGCGGCTCCCACACCGAGGACCTCGCCCGGCGCCTTGCTCCACGGCCTTGGGACATCCCTGCAGCCCATCTCTTCCCCCACGGTCGCCGAACTCCCCGCCCCGACCTGCTGGGTCCCACGCAGCGACCCAGCATCTTTGCCGCTTGCTCACCACCGCGCACCATGGGCAAGGCCCCACGGCCAGTCGCCCGGCTCATAGTTCCAGGACAATTTCCTTCGTCCCCAACGCAGCCCTGGCACTTTCCGTCTTAGTACCTCGCTCCCCAGTCTGCTCCAAACACGCACTCACACACTCAGCTCTGGCCCTCGCAGCCTTTCTCCTGCCCAGCCCTCCACCTTAAACCACTCAACACCCCCCTCCCACCCCGCCCCAGACCCGGACGCCCGCCCCCCCGTCCCCGTTGTGGGCCTCCCTAAAGCCTAGACAGAAGAAGAAAAGGTAATTGGGGGAACGGAGCAGCAAGGCCTGCCTGGGTCAAGGTCTCCTCTCCCCCAGGTCCATGACTACTAACACAGCTTCCCAGAATCCCCCCAGCATCGACCCGAGCCCACCTGGCCTAGGGCGAGGCGCGGCTACCGGAAGGCGGGCAGGGAGCCCCCAACTAGGCCTCGCTTCCGGGCGCTCGCCCAGTCGCCATAGCGACAGGCGCAGGGCGACTTGGGAGTCGTGGAGACTCCCGAGCCACTTAAAGGTCCAGGTGTTGCAAGGCAGCAGGTTTTGCAGCCACTACCCCTGGGGCCGGGGCCGGGACCGAGACCATCTTAGGGCAGAAGCCTGGGTTGGGGAGTGGAGTTAGCACCAAAAGAACTGAGAACGAGAGCAGAAAGACGGTACGGATGAGTTATGGCCTTTAGAGGCTTCCGTAGCACTGCAGAGTGGGGACGACGTCTGTATGCACCGCCCTGCTCTAGCCCACCCTGAAGCGGCTTCTCCCCGCCCCTCGTGGGCTCCGCCCCGCAGCGGCAGGATCCGAGGACATCTTTTTTCGCAGTCCGCTGTGTGCTGTCCTGATGGCCCCCTACGAGGAGGTGAGAGTGTCGGGCTTCGAGGAGTTCAACCGGGCTGTGGAACAGCACAAAGCCAAGACCATTTTCGCCTACTTCACCGGTTCGAAGGACGCCGAAGGGAAAAGCTGGTGCCCCGACTGCGTGCAGGGTGAGGCCGGGACTCGGGGGCTGCTGCCCAGCGGAGGAGGCGGGAGGATCCGGGATACAGCAGAAAGCGGTGTTGAGAAGATAAAGAGGAAGGAGTCTCGGTCCCGGAGATCCGCGGGGCCACCGGAGCTGTCCTCGTGTCTCCTTTTAAGCCCTTCCCCGCCCTGCCAGAAACTCTTCTTACCATCCGACCCAGATGATTTGGAATCTAATTTTTTAAAATTTCTCATTTCCCCAAAATGATGTTTTTATTGCAGAGACTAGTGAGTTGTTCTTCTTTCACTAAGTCAGCAAATATTTACGCTTTTCATTGTTCTGGATGGTGTGGCGCGGGGGCAAGCAGGACTCGGACTTGGTCCTTACCCTTAAAGTGGCACTAAGACCAGAAGAGAACACCTGATTTCTGTTGACCTCAGTTAACTACAGGACTAATTTCAGGTTAAAGTCTGAGTACCAAGACTGGGGGGAGGGCAGAGGGATGCTGTTTATCATTGCATATATAAATGTAGAGTCGATGTGTAATTATTTTATATCAACTTTTTTTTTTTTTTTTAAAGCTGAACCAGTTGTTCGAGAGGGGCTGAAGCACATTTGTGAAGGATGTGTGTTCATCTACTGCCAAGTAGGAGAAAAACCTTAGTAAGTGGTAGTGTATACTGTATTTCACAGACATGCACTAGACTCTTGCAAACTTAAGCGGGAAGAGCCTCAGGGACTCACTCAGGTTCTGTGTTCTAAGGTAAAGTGAGGTAGGTCAAACATTTAAAAGCTATTAAATACAAATTTAAAATGCCAATATTCAGCCACTTGAATTACGTAAGGGCAATTCAGTGAATTTGGCCAGGTGTAAGTTCAGAACTTAACTGGCTTTACATTTATTGTATATCTTAGTCACAGTTTAAATGAAAACTTTGCACAGGGTAATAGATAGTCCTTAAGGTTTTTTAAATGTTTACAACAAGAACAATGATTACTAAAAAACTAAATAATATATCAAATATTAAGCAAACTAATAAACCAAGTAGATTTTTTTCATGATCACTTTTTCTTTTTGGAATAGTTGGAAAGATCCAAATAATGACTTCAGAAAAAACTTGAAAGTAACTGCAGTGCCTACACTACTTAAATATGGAACAGTGAGTATCTTTCTTTAAATATGGTGGGGCTATAATTCACTGTGAAAACTCTTTTTAACTTGTTCTGGATTCAAATTTGAACCGATCTTGACATTTCATCTCAAACATTAATTCAGAGTGCATTAAAAACAGACAACTTGGCTGTCCATCCCTATGGCCAAGCCCAATAAGCTATTAAAAAGCAAATATCTAAATATTATCTCTTTTTCATGTTTTTAAGGCACTCTTAAGTTCTGTAGCCAGAAAGTTGAGTCATAATTCCTTAAAACACTTGCATCCTTGGCTGTTTTCTATTTAATCCATAATTATGGTTGAAAAGAGAGGGTTCCTCCTCTAGTTCAGTCATGCCCCTGGGATTCTGAATTAAAGGGTTATGGGGAAGGAGATAGCATTGGGCTTGCTGTCTCCTGTTTTAGTCTGTGGAGCTTCTGGTATTTGGGGTTTAAGTCCCTTGAGCCAAGTATTTTAATGATTCATCTTGAGGCAAATATCTTTATTTCATAAAGCTTGTTATAACTAGTTGATAGTTTCTGAATGGCGTAATTTCTCAGTTCAAAGATTCATGTCATTCAAAGTAGAACTCACTCCACTCCTAATAACATTTCATAGGAGTAGCTAAGATTTGACTGTTCTTCTCTTACAGCCTCAAAAACTGGTAGAATCTGAGTGTCTTCAGGCCAATCTCGTGGAGATGTTGTTCTCTGAAGATTAAGACTTGATGATGGCAATTGTATCATGATTTCCTGATTTACTTTAGTATAAAAGAAACTGCAACTTGTTTTGAATTCATGTTAGGAATAAATAAATAAATGATGTTAAAAACAACTGGTATGTATCTAAGAGAGTGCATTAAAATGCTCATGAACCTTGTTTGCTTGTAATATGTGGATATCTTTAAGATATGCAATATTACTTCAGGAGTGGCAGTAATAGCTCAAAGCAATTTATTACTGGAGGTGACAGAAATATCTAAAAGACTCTAATAGTGCAGTAGATAACTTTCAAATCTCTAAAGGGATCAGGATCTCTTACCTTAAATTCTGTGAATTTGCAAAGTAAATTCATAAATTCCTAAAACCCCTTCTTTAGCTTTCAAATGTAGAACAGTCTAAACACTGAAGGTAAGCACAGTACATCTAATTCAGTCCCTGCTTAATTCAGGCAGTTTTGTTTTCCAGCTGTCTGAATGTGCTTCACTGGGATAAGTAAGGCAGGTGGCACAGAATGGCTACAGAGACCATATTAACCTAGTGGTGGGAAGAACTCCAGCCTGTGAGTCAGTCACGCTGATTCTACCACACACTAGCTATGTAACCACAGGCAAGTTACTTTACCTGTCTAAACCTCAATTTCTGCTTTTATAAACAAGGATTGTTATGAGAATAAATGAGAATGCAAAGAAGCACTTAACATAGCACCTGGTTTATGGTACCTGTCAAATAAATGTTAACATTCCCAAATGAGCACAAGTATTTGAGGCTCCTCATCTTTGTTCTACTCTAAGGTCAAGAGTCCAATTAGTGGTTAACCACCAGTCTTCTTCCTGCCATCGTTACGTCAGTGACATACCAGTGATTCTTTCTTAAAGCTATCTTGTAAAGCAAGTGGTGATACAGGTATGTCCTCTCACGTAAGATTTAAGAACTTTGTGCAGTTCCTGCTCTGTGACTTAAAGAGGCCAGTGACTCCACTCCTCTCATTCTGTAGATAAGAGGGGTAGAACAGCTGATCTGAGAGACAGTAAGATTCCAGGAGATGGACTTTCCCAAGGCACTGCTATATGTCAGAAACAGAGCTAGGCCTAGAGATTAGTATATTTGGTGGCCCTCCCCTAAACCATTCCCACTGCCTCCTTAAACTGGTCTAAAGCACCTAACTTTTCCATTCTTATTCAGTTGGTTATGTTAAATGCTAATAAAAACATACAAATCCACAGGGAAACAATTCTGGTTTAAGAGAAATACTCTATTAACAATAAAAAGTTAGTTGGATAAAAAGCACACTAAACGTTCTAGATGCTACCACAATAAGGTTAGGTAGGAAGAGTCTTTTTTTGTCTTCACTGTACAAAAGAAATACATTATATATATGTCTTAAAGAGCCTGGTCTGTATCCCGCTTTTCATTTTCCTGAAGTATTATTTTGCTGTTGCTGCTCTGCCAGAGCTTGTTGAAGGCGCATCCGCTTCCGGGAATAGTGTTGCCAGTGTAGAATTTGCTGTTCGTCAATAAATTTCGCACACTGAGCATTCACCAGCTCCTTTCGGAAGTGTTCATATTGGAGCAGTTCTAACATGTGTAAACACTGAGGGTACCTGGGTTTAAGTTTATAAGTTAATGATCAACATAATTTAAGTCAATAATGCCAAGTTCTAGTTCAGTTACTCTCTTAAAAATGATCTTGTAGCCTACCATTTCTGTAACATTAACTTAGCACACTTTGGTAGTATAGGTTTTTTCCCCTGCTTAAGCAAAAAAGCTAGTCATCAAGTCAGTATTAAGCAAAATTTTCAAAAGGAGAAAATTTAAATTCAGAAAGATTAAATAACTTGCCCAAAACCACACAACACAGTTACTGGTAAGCAGTTAAAATTTGGGTACAAATCATGCCATTCTATTCTAGTGGTTTCCAAGGTGAGGAACCTGAACTTTTTTTTAGTAATTATGTATTTAATTGATAGCTATTGGTTTTCTATCAATAGTGATAAAGACAACTTTTATTTAAAAGTAGATTTCAAAAAGAACTATGCACAAATATTGTACTCTAAGTTTTCCACAAGAATACGGCAATTCTGAAATTATTTTATGTATACTCTAGGACTGAGCAAATAAGTATACTGTGGGTAAAGAGAGCCAAATTTCTGGCTACTGGAAAGAGTGACAGATAAGGAGGAAGACTAGAATGAACTCTTACTTAGCTGGAAGTAAAAACATCAGTATGTACTTACACCTTTTAATATATCTACAGACAGACATAGAAACAGACATAGATATGCATGTGTGTATGTATACACATACATACATACAAGTTCCAAGCCTTGTGTGCTGAGAGGGCCCAAAAGCAATGACACTATGGTACCAATCAGCACACTTACTGCCCAGATCATGGTTTTCAAATAGCATTTTCCAGGGTTCCTTGGAGAAATAGCTGATTCCAGAGCTAGGACATAGAAAGTACGAGAAAAGCCTAGAACACTATGTTGTACCAGGAAAAAAAAAATGTGCTAAAAATTCATGGGGATTATCAAAAGTACTCAGGAGCCAATTTGAAGGCATTCCCAATGGCCAAATCTGGAATAATTAAATCAAGAAAATACATAATTTTAATCCACAGGATAAAAATAAGAATCCAAAAGTCCACACTGATATAAATTTGTTTAATGAATAAATAAGTAGAAAACAAGGGAATGTTCTTCCTTACAATAGAATTCCAAATAATAAATGTAGAATGATCGAATTAGAAAATCACCACAGTAAAAACTGTTTCAGGCAAGTACCTTCAATAGATGCTAAAATTAGCAGCAAAAGTGTATGTAACAAGATATTTACATAGTCTCAAAGTATTTCCCCATAAGATACTTATTAAATACACAAGGAAAAATAGCAAATTGATATGGAGAAACCTGGAAGGCACCACCTCAACAAAGTGATCAAAATTAACATCACCAGTAGTGGGACAAATAGACTTCCTGTGACTCCTACTAAGATACACCATGAAGGATACATCACTTCCATGTCACGGTCATGGGAAAAAAAAAAAAAAAAAAAAGACCAAGGAAATCAGATTATAGGAAACTAATAAAACACGATGACAAAATGCAGCATATAAGCCTAGACTGGATACCATACTACATCCAGGACGCCAGCGGGACAACGGACAAAATTTAAATGAGGTCCGTAGATTAGATAATACTAATGTTCAGATTTTGATTACTGTACTGTGGTTATATAAAATGTTATCATTTAGAATATGTACATGAAGAATATACAGGAATTCTTTTTACTATTCTTCCAGTTACTTTGTAAGTGAAATTACATCAAACTGAAAAGACATAAAATTTAAATGAGACAACTAAAATACATTACATCATATATGCAGTAAACACAGCCAAAATTGTACAGTGCTATGCAAATAACTAAAGTTTCAGAAACAGTACACTAAAGCAGTGCTTCTTAAATTTTAATGTGCATACGAATCACTTCTTAAAATGCAGATTCTGATTCATTAGGTCTGGTACGAGGCCTGAGCTCTGCATTTCTAACAAATTCCCAAATGATACCGATGCTGTTGGTCTCAAGACCACATTGAATAGCAGGGTTCGATACCATGCTGTCCTTCAAAGATATTACAGGTTTGCTATATACACTCCAAAAATACATAAGTGCCTGCAACTGTTGGTTGTTTAGCCTAGAATGCTCTATTCACACCTACCCTGGCTAATTCTTTTTCATGACAGCATCAGTAATTTAAAAGACCTGGTTCTGAGTACTAGGTTGGGTGGCCTTGAACAAGGTCAACCTCTCTAAGCTTCCATTTCTTTTTCTTTTTTTTTTTCCCCTTTTTGGTCTTTTTTCGTGTCCGGCAACGGATCGCAACCCTCAGTGTCGCGCCCGTACCGGACCGGGACTGGCAACGGGATCGCAACCCTTGGTGTTGCTCCCACACCTCGCTCAGCCAGTGAGCGGGAACCGGTCTGTATGTGGGATCCGAACACTCGGCAGGAGCGCCACCGCGCTCCCAAGCGGCGCACTGTAGCAGTGTGCCACCGGGCCAGCCAGCTTCGGTTTCTTCATTCATAAAATAAATTAATATGACAATCAAGAGAATGGTCTCAAATAGCATTCAGTCAATAACTGGAATTTAGGTACACAGTGATCATTTATCATATTGAACTTGTAGAAGACAATGCTCAGAATAAATAAGATGACAGAATAAGGAATTATAAATATTCTCTGATGGTCTACGATATTCTCTGATAAGCTACAATTCAATAAGATGAAATAGAAGACTGGTAAAAGGAATGCTCTACATTTAGATTTTTTAAAAATAAGATACAATATGAATGATTAACTCAACAGCACTGAGAAAATAAGAACTGAAGGATTTTAATTGAATTAAAGCTCCCAGCAAGTCAACAATGTGATCCCCTTCTCTCCCCACCAAAAAGAATTAATAAAAGTGTAATGAAGAAGTATAATGAAGTCCACATGAAGAAAAGAAATGCCATTTGGGTAACACTTTTTTTTTGGCTGCTGTCTGGGACGGGGATCTAAACCTGTGACCTTGGTGTTATAAGGCTGCGCTCAAACCAACTGAGCTAACCAGCCAGCCTAAGAAATGCCATTTGGTTCAACATACCCTGACCACATCTGCAGGCCTGTGTTTAGTTTATTGACTATACTGGATAAGGTACAACTGCCAAATATACAAAAGAGGGCACCTGAACTCAAGAAGTCTGGAAGGCACGGCACCTAAGAAATGGCTCAAAGTAGTTGAGGAAAACAGATGTAAGAGATATATAGATGCACCTACTGGCTATCCCTGAAGTAGGCCAAGTGGTAGAAAGTGTCTAGAAGAGGCAGCTGCTTTCAGTCCCAGACAGCTGTTGACCTGGAAGAATGAAGACCTGGGGTTACCAGATCTTCTAAATACTAAAGAGTAGCTAGAAATCTGGATTGTTATATAAAACTTTCCAGTCTTTAAATGTTGGCAACTATTTAAATAAAAACTAAAACCTTGTGCAGACTGAATGAAAATACCCAACAAAGGTTCATTTGCAACCTCTCTTGAATTTAAATATCTGAAGGGCTCTTGTCCTCAAGAGAGCATGGACTGGTTCTGGGTTAACCCAGGGAATGTAAGGAAGAACTTTCTAACATCTGACTAACAATTGAATCAGCTGACCATGACAGAGTAACATGGAATGGAAAGCCAATGAAAGCGCTAAGCAAGAAAGTGACATGTTCTGATTTACATTTTTAAGAGATCAAATTGGGGGTCTTTGTAGAAAGTTATTTTGCTGTTTGGCTGGGAGGGCGGGGGGGCATGTGCAAGGGGAGAAAGGTAAGAGTGGAAGCAGAGATAACCAGTGAGTAGATTACTGTAGTACTCCAAGTTAGAGATGAAAATGTGTTGTATTATGGTAGTGAGAACTAAAAGAATGGGAGAGTTTCAGAATGTATTTTTTCCAAAGCGAAACTAAGAATCTGTTAAATATCAGTGTTTTGGATTAAAATAAAGTATACACATAATTAGGATTATAAAAATTAAACTTACTTTAGATACTTGGCATACTCTGGTTCTTTCCAGTAAAGCAAGTACTTAAGATAATTAACAAAAGCTTTGTCTTTGAAGTAACCTCTTTGGGCAAGAACTGAAAGGCATAAAAAAAAAAAAAAATCTGTAGGTCAAACCAATCTATGGACCATTGATTTCTGACCTCTAATATAAACAATTTATTTACATAACATCCCCACCACCAACACAAACTGAATTTAAAACACAAGTCCCAGTTTGCTCAATTATACCTATATACCAGCATAAATGCGATTCCATTCAATTGAGAATGTACAAAAGCAGATACCATTGCGAATTGCAACTCTCCTGTCAGAAATCATTAACAGCTATTCAACTTAATGAGGCTCAACAACTTACAATTAAGGTAATTTGGATTGGCTAAACACTGCACAAATTCCAACTCCAGCTGAAACCGAACTCGATTTCCAGCATCATCTAGGAGAGAAGACAGCAAAAATCATCCAAAATAAAGCTCGCTATATATAATACTGATTGTAAAAAGGAAACAGCAGTAACGTACCTGACTAATGCTGAGATATACTTCTGTATAAAGAAGGGCATGTGATGGTCTTTCTAAACTGAGCGTGGGAGGAGACAAACTTTCCCTAGAATCCTAAGAAAAGCAGAGTCCTGATCAAAAGGAATAAGTAAGGAGCTTCTCTAAAGCTAAAGAGAAATCACCAAAGAAAACAAACACAAACGGGGCAGGATACCTACCACTTGTGGGCCACAACGTAGGGATTTGAACAGTGACCACTGGGTAGGTTGTAATAACTGCGGCTTCCCCTATTTTAATAATACATTATAACAATTGTTAACAGTGATTAAATTAGGCAAAAGCTAGTTGCTAATCAGGGAAAAGTTCAGAAAGCAAGCTGAAAAACAGATTACGGAGAGCGTGAGAGATCACGGAGTGTCTACACATGTGAGAAGCACCAGTGGCAGAACGATACACAAGTCTGTCAAGGATATCAAACTTAGGCGAGCTCCTGTGAGAAGGAGAAAACCAATCTAGGAGGAGACGCTTTAAGATCCAAGTCTTCTCCTTAGTCGCACCCACGCCAGGGAGCCCCTGGGATCGGTGTTTGAAGGGCACGAGAGGAGAAAAGATGTGCGAACCAACCAACCAAATTCTGAAAAAAATACAAAACTACCTTCGTCTCCCCAGAAGCTACAAGAGCTCCCTCCTCTCCCGGCCCGAACTCTGATCCTGCCGAGAGTTAGGCCTGAAAAGAAGTTCCGGGGAAGCGGGAGAAGGGGTCTGGGCGGAAGACAGACCTATCTGCGAAGACTGGAGACTCAGAGCTACTTACCTGTCTCCATAGCGACGGCAGCGGCCATAACCAGCGAAGACACCACAGAGCCAGAAGCCCTACAGAGCAACCGCCTGGAGTGGCGGGGGAGGTTCCGGAAGCCGCGGCTCCCCCTTCCGGCCTCGACGCAGTGTGGGATACGAGGGCGGGCACAACCTCGCTCGGAGGCGGGCGGCTCCGCCCATCTCTGGCCTGCCCTGGCCTGCTCCGCTCCACCCGCGCAGACTCCCAAACGGCGAGAGGGCGGTGCCGGAGCCGAGGGTGCGCCTGCTGGGCAGGGGCCCAGGCTTTTGAAGGGACATTTCATATCAGCCCCCACAGGACCATAGTGCGGCCACGTCATCGTGTCGTGGTACTCGCCTGTGACAGCATCCTAGTTTTCCCGCCCTTGTGCCCGTGGTGACGCCACACGCCATTGTGACGTCATTTCTTACCTTGTGATGTAACCCCGAGGTGTCACACTGAGAGTGACCGTTGGGTTGTGAGGCTTCCAGAGACCTCATTGACCGTTTTACAGCCGCAGGATGGCCTCACCCCTTGGGGGAAAGCCCTCTTCGCCCCAGGTGAAGACCACCCACTATAAGGAGACTTCCACGGCCCGCGTGGAGTCCTCGTCCCACCGCATAGAGACATCCTCTCGGCAGGTGCGAACGTCTTCCCGGCAGGTGGAGACCTCCCAGCGCCTCAGCGAGGGGCCCTCCCTCTCTCCCTCTGGGAAGCGGCTCCCCCACGTCCTCGAGGTGTCCTCCCAGCACGTGGAAACCTCCTCGCAGCGTACGGAAACGTCCTCCCGCCACCTCCGGGCCTCGTCCCTGCAGATGGAGACGTCTCTGCACCGCGTGGAGAGCCCGGCCCGGCGGGACAAGCCGGCAGCTCGCCAGAACGTGAAAATGGCTCGCTGAAATGCTTCCCAAAGGCCGCGAAAGGGCCATGGCCTTCAGCCAAGATGGAGCTGCCTCCAGTTGCCAGCGAGCCAGCTGCCAGGCCGGCCAGTCACCTTTGATTTCATGGAAACAGCCCAGAAATCAATGTGAGAAATAGCCAAGCTGCGGTTTCTGGTCTCAGCCAACATTTATTGACCATGCTGCACCCTGGACCATCCTGTTTTTGATCCAGTGAACTATTTTAACTTGAAGCAGGCACAGAAGGTTTTCAGGCCCGTGGGACAGTATAAATTGGGGTGATGGACAGTGACGCTGTTTGAGCCTTTGAGTCAGGTGAGTTTTGGATCCATAGCCCCTGAAAGATTTTCACTACTTGAAAAAGGAACAGAGACCGAACTGAAATCATGACCCATGGAATGATTATATGCTTGCCAAAAACCTGAAGGGCATGAAATAGACTTTCATAAATTATTAATTGGCATTTATGTTGCAAAATAATCAGTTATTTTCTTTATGCCAAGCCTTTGTACGTGGTACCCCCTCCCACCCACTTTTTAACGTAGGTCAGATGTAATTAAAAATGAAGGCAAACCCGTCAACAACCAAAAATAATCTTAGAAGAGAAAGTAAGAGGAGGTCATTGAAACCTAACCTGAGGTTTGAGGAAGGTGGAGGAGGAGATTATTGAGTACCTACTCTGTGGAAAGCACTATTCTGAGCACTTAGGCTATAGCAGTGAAAAAGGCAGACAAATTCCCTCTGGTGAAGAGGCATACAACCCATTACAAAACAAGACAATTTTCTATTGTGATTAGCAATATGAAGGAAATAAATGGGTGACGTGATAGAGAATGGAGCTAAGAAGATTCTTTAGATAAGGTGGTTAGAGAAGACCTTGCTGATTTGGTGACATTTGATCTGAGATATCTGTGGGTGAGCAGTGAGCCATGCAAAGATCTGGGGAGAGTGCATTCCAGGCAGAAGGAACAGCAAGTACAAAGGGCGGATGGGGAAAAGCTTTGAATGATCAAGGAACAGAAAGACCAGTGTGGCTGGAACTTAGTAAATGAGGGAGAGTGTGGAATGGAAGAGAGGAGGTTAAAAGTAGACAAGGGCTAGTTAATAGAGGGTTTTGTAAACCACGGTAAGGAGCTTGGATTTTATTCTAAAGTCAATAGGAAAACAATGGAGCGTTTTCAGCAGGGGAGTGATATGATGCAAGTTACATTTTAAAAATATCCTTCTAGCTTCTGTGTATAGGATGTAGGATAGTGGTTCTCAACTGCTGGTGATTTTGTCCTGCAGGGGATATTTTGCAATGTTTAGAGACATTTTTGTTTGGCTCAGGGTGGGGTGAGGGGACATAAAGGGTACTACTGACCTCTAGTGGGAAGAGGCCAGGGATGCCACTAAATATCCTACAATAAACAGGTCAGCACCCCACACCTCCGCCAATAACAAAGAATCTCTCAGCCCAAAATGTCAATGGTGTCAAGGTTGAGAAACACTGAACATTCTAGCAGCTTGGAAAGCTAGAGCATGGTCCACTGGGGAAGCACCCCACTTCTGCATAGCAGAAGTATGGTAAGGCCTAAGAAATGCTAATAGAAGAGGGTTAGGGATAGTGATCTCTGGCAAATAGTAGGGCAGGAACTCTCGGAGGAAAGGGATATGTTGCTCTTTGAGGAGTTGTCCATCCCTGTGTTCAATAAGGGTCCCATCTAGCAGGCTGTAAATGGCCCTGATTACGTGGGACCTCATTGTGAATTACAGTAAAGTCATGTGTCTCTTAACAATGGGGATATGTTCTAAGAAATACGTCATTAGGTGATTTTGTCATTGTTCAAACATCATAGGGTGTACTTACAAAACATAGATAGAATAGCCTATCATTTATAGGCTACAAACCTGTACAACATGTAACTGTACTAAATACTGTAGGCAATTGTAACACAATGGTATTTGTGTCTCTAAACATATCTAAACATAGAAAAGGTACAGTAAAAATACAGTATTATAATCTTACAGGACCATAATCATATATGTGGTCCGTCGTTGACCGAAACATCATTATGCAGTGTATGACTATACTTGCCATTTCCAGGCACAGTGCTAAGTCATTGTCCAGGTTACTTCATTTAATTACAGCAGAGTGCACTGTCCTGTCCCCTAGAATACAGGCTCATGCCAGGAGAAATGTTATAAAATCCCAGAGGCTACCCTAATGCTTCTGCCTCATAAAACTTCTGCTATAAACTAATAATTAGCCTTTGGCATTTTTGTTTTTGTGAGCTTACTAATTCTTTTTAACATGACAGACTGTGTGCATTATATATAAACACTCAATCAGCATTTTTTAAATGAACAAAGTAGTTTCTCTTGAATAATGTTCCTTATTGTTTTTATTACAGAAGTGGTATGTGCTTAATGTAACAAACGAAATAATTTAAAGATATGTAAAGAAAAATTTAGTAATTTATCATTGTTTCTTTCCATTCTCATCCTCTAGAAATAACTAATGTCAACAACTTGGTGTGCATATCCTTCCAGACCTTTCTCCATTAACTAACTGCTTCTTATCCCCCTTCTTAGCAGTACCTGGAACACTATTTTGAATGTTACTCTGAAAAGCAAGACAGCTGGTTTCTTGATGACTGACTGTCTAGGAAGGATACAGGATCTGGTATCTTCTTTCTTTTTGTTATCCTTTTTTCATAAGAGGAGTTTTACATAGGTTTTTTTCCTTCCAATTTCGTTTATTCATGTTTTAAAGCTGAAATTCAAAGAGATACAGAGCAAGAAAGTGTCAAAAAAGGCAACAGACATGAAGAAAAAGGATGTGACAAAATATTTGCCTTACATACTGTTTTACACTCCAGATTCCACAGCTTAAAAATGATGCTGTATGTTAAAGAAGCCTGTTCGTCATAATTATGCCTGCTGCATATTAAGTATGTCACATGATTTCCTCATTATGCCCATATCGTGTTACTCATACTGTGTGTCATGCTGCTCACGTTGTCCTCTCTTGGAAGCTCGAAAGGAACACGGTACTGTTGTACCTGTGACGTGTTATGTAATGAAGGGCACAATGTATGTTCAGTAATGAGCAAAGAGCAAGGCTTTCCTTCCTTTCTCAGCCAAGAAAGCCCTTAGTGGCTCAATCTAACAATCCTTTGGATTTGCTGTGCCAGGTAATAGTTGTGACATGCCTTCAGTTACCAGGTTAGTTTGAAAAACTAAATCAGTACAAATCCTTCTGAGGAAGAGGTCAGCACTTCTCATTCTCCTCATACTCCTCTCGTTTGTGTATAAGCTAAGGACAGTCTACAAAATTCATCATGTATATTTACTTTCGGTTTTGTTCAAAATACTTGAAAGGAAAAAATGCCATTGGTAGAATACTCTTACCCCGACCACACAAGCCATAAGAAGAAAGAAGAGCCCAACCAGTGAGGTATTTGGTCCAAGTCCTCATCTAGACTTTCTAGAATTACTGTTCCTCCATTCTTTCTGTTACTCCCATCCCAGTATAGGTAGTACAAGTATCCAAGCCCTGGACACTTGACCTATCCTCTATTGGATTGAATAACCTTTATCCCTGCTTCTCCTACTAACAGCCTAAGCCCTGTGCATCTTAAATATCACCGTAAATTATCTCTATGGTTAGAACTACATGGCTGCAGATAATAGAAAACCTGCTCCAAAGTGGCTGAAACAGGTAGGAGTCTGCTTTGTCTCATATAACAAGAAGTCTGAGGGTCTATCATCACAACAGTGCTATCAGAGGTCCAGCTTATTTCTGTTTTTCTGCTTTACAATCTTTAGTGCATTGGCTTTGCCTTCTTGCATACTACCTCATGGTTACATGATAGTCATGCATCGTTTAATGACAGGGAGATGTTCTGAGAAATGCATCATTAGGTGATTTTGTCATTCTGCAAACATCATAGCATTTACTTGCACAGACCTAGATGACATAGCCTACTTCACAGTCACTTGATGTGGCCTCTTAACTGACAACATTAGCTGTGGATTTTGTATGCTTTGGGACCATGATGAACAAAACAACACAAGATTAAATCAAGCACAAGAGGAAATGATGCTGTCAAGAGACTCTGTAAACACGAAGTGTCTGAGGCTGCTGCTGGCAGAACATGGCATACTGTTTCACAGTAAGCTTTTTTTATACATGTAAGAAGGAGTACACCCTAAGTAACAATAAAAAGTATAGTATAGTAAAATACATAAACCCGTAACATGGTTATTATCATTATCAAGTATTATGTACTGAGATAACGTAGGTGCTATGCTTTTACACAACTGGCAGTGCAAAGTTTGTTTGCCCCGGCATCGCCACAAACATGTGAGTAATGCATTGCACTGGACGTTAGGATGGCTACGAAGTCACTAGGTGAAAGGAATTTTTCAGCTCCGTTATAATCTTATGGGACCACCATCATATATGCGGTCTGTCTTTGACCAAAACATCATTATGTGGTGCATAACTGTACTTTTGTACTTCCAGTCCTCACACCTGCATTCCAGACTTATACAACTGACAAGGGAAGGAGTGGAGTGTTTTTTTCCTCAGCAGGGTTTGCCTTGTTAGTTGGGAAGGGAAACCCTTTCCTAAGGGCTTCTGTCTGCATTTCACTGGCCAAAACTGAATCATAATAGTTACCCTTACCTGCTAGGGAGGTTGGGAAATCAATTTTTAGCTTTCTGGCCTCTACAGTAGAAGAAAGTTAGGAAGAAGGTGGTTAGGCGTTGGTTTTGAGTGAACCAACCTATAGTATTTTCCACACCTTCCTTCCAAGTATGACACTTCTTTCAGGTGATCTTCAGTAGTTCTTTCAGGCCTCAAAGCTAGAACCTCGTTCTTCTTTGTTCATCTTTAGTGCATTATTGGTCAGAGGACTTAGAGTCAGTTCCTGAAGGCCGAGTCAAGAAGCACTGCTTATAGCCTTTTTCTCACATCAGTGCTGTGGAGCAGAACATCCGAAATATTTTTGCTGTGTAAATAATTCTCCTTTTTTTTCCCCTCAGAACTTTAAAGGTGTTGCTTCACTGTCTTCTGACTTGCATTATTTCCAACAGCAGAAATTTGCTCTTTCCTTGTCTTTGCTCTGTACAAAGGCTTTTCTACAGCTTTTTAAAAAGATTTTCTCTTTATCACTGGTTTTAAACAATTTATGATGCCTTGTGTAGTTTCCTTCATGTTTCCTGTGTTTGGGGTTTATAGTACTTTTTGGATCATTGGTTTTATAGTTTTAAAAACTTTGGAAATTTGGGGGCCATTATTTCTACAAACATTTTTTCCATCTCACCCTCCCTATGGACATCAATTATAGATATATTAGGCCGCTTGAAATGATCCCACATCTCAGAGATGCTCTGTTCATTTTTTTTTAGTCTTTTTCTCTGTGTTTCACTGGATAGTTTTACTGCTATGTCTAAGTTCACTAATCTTTTTTCTGCAATGTCTAATATATTAT